GCAGTCAGCTGAAGTGGCCTGCAGTACTGCGCTCTACCCACTGCACCACCTCGGCTCTCTTATGAGGTGCAGAAGATGAGGCAAACCAGAAGGGAGAGAGTTGGACATTTTAATTTCAGGTTTTATGGAAGCAATGCTTTTTATTCCTACCACGCAGGATCACAGTATGAACTATTTTATTGCTTTGAGAAGAAAACAATTTCCCAATTTCAAGTTCCCTTCTCAGTTGCCTGGGAACTAGAAGTTCCAAATAAATGTTCCAAACTGGACCCTTACTAGACTGTTTACATCCGAGGGTCTGATCTAACTGAACAGATCACAGAAAGAACTACAGATCATTTCAGGGAGAAAAATGTAGTTGTTGACTGTAGTAAATGTTTCATTCATACATGTTGTGCATATGGGAGGAATATCCTGCAGTAATACACCCTTTCTTGTATTTCCAGATCAGGAACCTACCCCTTTCTAAGTGAATTTCTCCCACATTGGTATTTGATTGCTTCTATAAAAAAAGTTGCCAACAAAAATCTACTACTTTTGAAAAGGCAGTTTTGCAATAGGAAAAAAAACCCAGAGGTGTAATTAAAAAAAAGAAAAGAATATTTCTTTACCTTTGAAGATACATCATAGTTAAAAATCTTTATAGAGATTCAACTCACAATAATTTGGGTACATTCCCCAGACACAGAAAATGGAGCATTATTCATGTATATAAATAATAAATATAATGGAAACAGTTCGCCAGGACTTTTTCCTATGCAAACTATAATCATATTTTTATTTATATATCTTATTTATATAGCTGCCATTCTCAGAGAATGCAATGTAATGATAGGTACTCAGGTAAGACTGCAATATAAAAATTCCCAGTACCCTCTTTCTGTCAGAACATATTTTATGTTTTTCACACAGAAAAGAGAAGGGCAGGTTATCTTGGAATTTTTAAGTATGTTAAAAAAGGTAAAAGTTCCCCTCGCACATATGTGCTAGTTGTTCGTGATTCTAGGGGGTTATGTGCATCTCCATTTCAAAGCCAAAGAGCCAGCGCTGTCCAAAAATGTCTCCATGGTCATGTGGGCAGCATGACTAAACATCGAAGGCGCACGGAGCTCTGTTACCTTCCCACCACCAAAGGTGGTTCCTGTTTTTCTACTTGCATTTTTACATGCTTTCGAACTGCTAGGTTGGCAGAAGGTCGGAGAAGTAGCGGGAGCTCACTCTGTTACGTGGCACTAGGGATTCGAACCATCAACCTTTCTGGTCAACAAGCTCAGCCTCTTAGCCACTGTTAAGTATGTTACAAAATACATTATTATAGGCAAGCAAATGGTATTTTTGTATAAACTAGAGGCTCTCATTGTGCCAGCATCACTCCTTTTAGAGAATGCAAAATACCAGAGGTCTAAGAGAGAAGGAACACATTATGGAACACCATGACATGTTCCATAATCAGGCCCATTACCATACGTTCATAGGGATCATCGGTTTCAGCGGCTTTGTCCAAAAGTTCACTATATTCCAGTTCCTCGCAAAGGTGTTGCAAAGTATTCAAAGGCTCATTGAGCTCAACAGGCATTGATACTTTGGAAAGGTCCTTCCCAATATTATTTCTCAAAATGTTCCACAGATTAATATTACTAGTATCAGGGGAGGGTGTTGGAAGACATGTCCTTCGTCCATTTCTGAAAGCACCTCCTGTTAGCTCATCATTCATTACTAAAAGAGAAATAGAACAGAATGATCATGAAACCTATACAATGTGCTGATATACACATATATACATATAGTCGGTATACGTTTGTGTGTGTGCGGCATGTGTGTATGCATGTATATGACATACAACTGTAGGTAGTTTTCACAGTTACTGATTCATTTAGTGGCTTTTCAAAGTTACAAGAGTGCTAAAAAAAAACCATCTTAACATCCAGTTCTCACATTTATGACTTTAGTAGAATCTGTTAATTTTAACTCGCTGATTTAACCCATACTAAAAGCGAAAGAGAAAAGCTGAAGCAAAGGAAAACTGAAGTAAAATCATAAGCATGCCTGTAGTCCCGCTATTTTAATTTCATAACTGCTTTGCTTCACAAGCAAGTCATAGAATGCAACTGTGGTAGGACTATCTGTACTTTGAATTTTAATTATCTTACATTTTATCTTACTGTCTTATATTAGTCTACAAGCAAGCTTGTAGCCTACAGTAGGGAATATCCTTATTTTGGGCCACAATTTCTTTGCTTTTTTAAAGTGAACTAACCGTCGTGGATTCACAAAATACATTGTGCGGTTAAGTACCATTTTTTTAAACCTGTTACAACAATTGAGGCCATAGTCCTCCCTTGTATCTGAGACTATCACTACACCTGACTAAATCCCGAGTGCCTGGCAAAAACATAAAAAAGACCTTTAAAACCAATTTAAAAGAAACCTGATTAAGAATGATCCCAAATGTAGCTTTTATTGTGCACAGAATTTTACAAGGCATCCAGGTGTCATTATTTTCTTTATAAAACCACACAATGCCTTACCATGGCTTTACCTAGATTTTCCTTTGCTTTCTCATGTGTACATAACAAACTGTTACAGAAACAAGATGGAATAAGCTGCTTACCTTGAAATATTCAAACAGCAATATAAGTCGCAGCGGTACATATTTGCTTAATCTTTCATTTCTTGCCTTTCTACCAACTTAGTTTTTTTTCCCTCCATAGCTTCCTCGACAGATGGAATTACAAAATTATATCTACGCACTAATTCCCACTTTTGCTTTTCTATTCCCATTAATTTATTTTCAAAACAGACTCTCCTTCCCTTTTAATTATTTTTAAAAGAAGGCAATCTTTTAAAAGGATTTTTGTTAATGTTGCTGCACTTTTGCATATAATTCAATTAACTACTCGCTGACAGATGAGTTGCAGAAAAAAAAATGAAAAAAGAGGAGAGAAGATTTCCCCCCCCCCCCCAGGCCCATTTTCTGTAAAATAATTGGAAAAATAAAAATGTTTTGGTAATACCTTAAAAAAAATTATATCTTTTCAAATAATGAATGCAATAAGAGAAGTTTTTCACATATTGCTATTGTTTATTTCCCCCAAATGATAATTAGAATTCCTCCCTCCCAAATAGCAGAGTATTAAACTTCTTATAGACAGAGTACAGCTTTCAAATGTAAATACAAAATACATTTCAGCCACTAATGGGCACTGTCACTTTCATCAAAAGGAAGAATGGTTTGGTACTTTACTTGTGAGCTTGTCTATTGCTGAATTTTTACCTACAGGTCAGGCCTGCTCGACTAGGTCTCAAGGGATAGAATTCTGTTTTATTATCATGTTACTCATTTCTTCGGTCTTCAACTTTATTATTTTCAGTGTGACAAAATTAAGACACCTTGGATTTCCAGGGAATAATGGCTGAACTGAAGATGGTTCTACAAAATGAAGAGCCGATGAAGGGTTCACCAGAATGAAGAGCTGGTGAATAGACCAACTTTTCATAATTTCTCTCCAGACAAGGAGAGGACTTGAGATTGCCTATGTGTGCCCCAGACAGTTTCTCCTCATGAGACCACCTCAAGACAGTGGTTTCCAACTGTCAATCTGGAAGAGAGCGGTTCTTATTCACGGTGGTTGGTATTTTCAAAAGGACACTGGATTTGCATACTTCCTTTTTTAATCACTTTAGGAAATTGTTAAATTGTTAACTGCCTTTCATCTATTAGGAACATTTGGATTGACATTTTACAGCACCAGGTAAATTTCCCTCAATCCTTAGCAAAATAGAGTCTTAAATATAACATTGACGACTTAAAAATCCTTTCTGAAATAAACAGTAAAAGGATAATTAAAACTTTGAATTTTTAAACATTTTTTATTAAAGTTTAAAAACACAAAGATAAAAAGTTAATACAAACTAAGAAAAAAATAACAATAAAAAAGTAAAATGCAAAAATATTAAATATATATATGCTTAGATATACACATATATCTTCTACATATAAATATTGAAAAACATTATAGATATATTAAAGATATATTAAAGAATACACACGCACACACACACACACATATACACATATAATGATGTTTTTTATATAATGAAAAAAATTGGTTGGTAGTGCTGAAACAATGAGATTTTATGGATTTATTTATAAATAACCAATGGAATATGGGAAGAAGAGATGATTTGTTGTGTTTTAAAAGATGATGAGTGATTAAAATTGTTTATAATTGTAAAGAAGGGGAAAGTTGTTTTTTTTACTGCATTCTTATTTATTCTTCTTTAATTCTTCTTCTTTTTCTTTTCTGCACTTTCTATTTTTTTCTTTTTAGTCTTTCCTTTTTTTAGTTTGTATTAGTTTTTATTGTAGTAAATTGTAATCTTTAATACAATTGCTATAAAAAACAACAATTACCGGTAAGAGATCCTGGGTTCTTGGAATTCTATGTTTATAGTTCCATTTGTAACAAAAGTTAAAAAGATCTTTATGTACATTCAATTAGTCAAGGGAAAAGAAAAGGAAGAGAGTCCCTGTGGATTTTACTCCATTACTCGTTGAGTATAGAGGGGCTCTCTATTTCAAGGCTGCAAGTCAGCACTGTCTAGAGACGTTGCCTCAGTCATGTGGCCAGCATGACATTGTAAAGCGCTGTTTCCTCCCCATTGAAGTGGTACCTTTTTATCTACTCTCATTTGCATACTTTTGAACTGCTAAGTGAGCAGGCGCTAGACAAAGGTAGGTGCTCCCCCCCCCCGTCATACGATGCCCTGGTCTTGAACGCAAGCTGTCAGCCTTCCAGTCAACAAGCATCTTAATTGCTGAGCCATCGTGCCACACACTCAATTAGTAAGTGTAGCAATTATTTAAATAAATTACATATTTAAATTTAATCAACATAGCAAGCATTACTGCATGAGTGAAGAATTTGCTCATGCCCAAAATATAGAATTTGCAATATATATTTCTTAGCTGAACTTAAATGAATAAACAAAAAGTTTATTCAAATATTGGAATACATTTTTTCAATATTTCTTGATATATTTTTTCCAAAATAACTAGAAATAGCATTTTACTTCAAAATAACTTAAATCTAAAACTTTTAAATAACACTACTTGTAAGTAGAAGGGAGGGAGGATTAGCAACTTAGAAAATTTAGAAATATGATTTATAATGAGATTTGGGTTAGGCACAATGGGATGCAGAAAGACCAATGAGATGGGAAAAATTAGCGATGAATATGCTGAAAGATATGTCAATTGGAAAATAGAAATAGAGTAACTGAGAGAACAAGGATGAGAATTATACATACAAAACAATACAATATCCTGAAGTGACCAAAAGAAAGAGGATTAATAGGAAGAGAGGTTGAAAGGATCTTGTGATGGCAAAGAGGAAAGAATAAAGGCAGAAAAAAGGATTAACAGGAAGCATATGTAAAAACTCATATAATTAAAAAAGAAAGAAAAGTAATTTTCTGCAACTAATAAAGTAAATTAGAAGCAATTTGAAAGTAGCTCTCAGGGTGAAGACTCCTTGTTTGCCTCTTTATAAATTATATAAATTTCATTTTCTAAAAGTCAAGAAACCGCATACTTTGCCGAGAAATATTGTCTCCAACACTAGTGTTGTCCTCAGATATGTTGTCGCTCACATCACTTATGTAAGATTCATCATCAGAAGCCTAATGAAGAAAACACTGATTATTACTATTATCATACTGAAGAAATAAATGCTATTGTCATAAATTCAAATTCCCTATAATCTTTTGCTTTTTTAGATCCATCCTGTTTGCCTGCAAGCATTCTGCCCATTCAATAAAACATCGATAGGTACACATATCTGTGGTGAATCCCCCACTGGCAAAAAAACAATGCAACAACCGCTAAAAGAAAAAGCAGCAGAGAGATTTGGAAAATTATAGCATTTTGCTGCCATCTTATAGTTATAGTTGTACAGGTCAGATATGGTAGCCCTTATTTTATTTAGTATTTCAGAGTGTTCAAATAATATGTACAGTATATTACCTTAAAAACATTTGCTATAACTTAACTGATATGATAGCCTTCATACATGAATCATTGGCTGAGACATATATGTTTATGAAAAACATCAACAAAGCAGTTATTAGATGTGAACATAGACAGGCTATGCCGTGCCCATATTTCTAATTAAAATGAAGCATCCAGTACTTCAATCTCACGTTACATAAAGGTGTTATAAATATAGATTACGCTGCTGGGTAAAGATTGTTCTTCCTAACCTCGTTTTCTGATGAGCTTGCAGATAGAAGCACTTCTTGGGCATCAAAAAATTCAGAGACGGATTCAGACATGGAGAGCCTGCTCTCATTAGAAACTTGTTGGGAAAGTGGGAGACTGACATGGATCTGTTCACCTGTCTATAAAAGAAAAGCATATAGATGAATTCTGCATACTGTATAGTGAGAGCCTAATAGCTATGCAAGCTATGACAAAACAAAAATCGCCCCAAGACATGCTGGATAGATGCACTGCTTCTTTTTTCACATTTCTTCCCCGCATACTGAGAGACAAAATAAAGCAGAGATGGTCCTGTAAACCTGCCCTGTATCTAGCAAATTGAGAGTTTAGTTGAAAAGGAGTCATATTTCCAAGATGCACTCCAAACTTTCTGGTGCTTGGAAAAGAGATGCATTACTTTCCTCGGGATTAGTACCATTCTTAGTACGTTTACACTGCAGTTCCACATGTATTGATGAGTGTTGTCACAAAATACAGGCTGGCTACAATCAATTCATACGCAGCCAGCCATTCCCTCAAAGAGATAATTCTATTCTTGCCCACTGTCATTCAACATTTTGTAACCAATGACTATGTTCAATTCTCAGTAAGTTACGTATGCTAATAACTTCTAATTCTTCAGGTCTCCAGTTTTGATTATAGTCTTTTTACCACCCTGTTCTTAAGCGTGCTATTAGGAAAAGCAGTGCTTATACTCTATTTACTGTATTTCAAGTCTTCCCTTTTTTAGGATAGGTCATATATATACCACAATATCTTCTCAATAGGTAATTTTAAGGTTTCCCTTGGAAAGAGATACGCTCTGCAAGTCAGGCTTGCAGCATGGATCTCTTTTATTTCATTACTTCCCATTGCAAAGGATATTCCATTAAAATAACACTTCTCTATTTAAAACAACGCTCAACCCACATCATTAAGAAGTTACTGCTACAGGCTGGGAAAGCCTGAGAATATAGGAAAAGCAATTTCTGCTATGTGAGAAAATGAGAAGTTGTATATGCTGTCAGATACAGAAAATTCTGTTTCAAAAGGGGCGTAGCAACTTTAGCAAGTGCCTAAATGCATTTGCCTCGATTCATACTCTGGAAGAATTCTAACCATGCAATAGAAGTAGTTTCGAATGAAAGATGCAAGAAAAACTTTGGTTTGAATTGAAGGGTTAACCAACAAAGTGCATGGTAAAGTAATTAAAACATGGCATAAAATTCAAGTGAGAGAGGAAGAGAGACACCATAACTTTCAAGAAAAGGAATTTTAAACTAAAATATATAATGAAATAGACACCTTGATGAAACCCCTAAGCATTATCTTCTCATGTATCTCTTAAAACTAAGTGAAGTTTTACATTTTATAACCTGGAAGGTCTCCTGCTCAAAAGGAAAACAGTAAAGAAAGATCATCAACTGAACAGGTATTGTTGCAATGCTAATTGGTTTATCTTCCATCTTTTAAAATCCAAAGCATAAGATTGATAATGCCAAATGATCAGAAACAGAAAGGAAGCAGACAATTCTGCTTGGATGGATGGAGTAGTGAGCTTACTCCAAGGGTCTATACTGATAACGTATTTTTTAAACACATTTTAAATGCATTTTTAAATATCTGGAGTTGGACTAGTCAAATAAGGTAATTGACCGTATCGACTGACCAGGGTGGCCAAAAATATGGCAGAGATAACTGGGTAAAAGACTATAAAATGGCAAATGTGGTTCAAGAAATGTTAAATATAAAATAATATGCACCAATGCAAATATATATATATATATATATGAACCAGAAATATTGTGGCATCATAATGGGAACCAGAAATAAATATATTAAGATTTTTAGTTTGGGGAAATTAAAGTAGTGAGTATGAATAAAATATGAAAAAATACAATGAAAGTAGATAGAAAATATATATTTCTCTCTCAAAGGACAGAAACTTGGAAGCAGATTTAGGGAAAAACAAATGAAAGTCTGTCTTCACACGTTATTTAAATGTATAGAATTAGCCAATCTAAAATCAATAGCTGATCAACTAATTAGATGTCATTTAGTTGATGTTAACTCTTAACAACCACATGCATAAACATTCTCCAGGATAAGCCTATAGCTTAGTTATAATTTATATTCATAGGGTCCCCACAGTAACTTGGGAACAGGCTATTGTACTATATAGATATTTCATATAAAGTGGCATGGCTCTTATGTATTTACATTTCAGCTGCATGTTCAAATACTGATTGAATAAGGTTGTCAAACATTCTACTCAGCAATTGAAAATATGGATTTTTTCCAAAGGGAATTTCCACTAATTATAGCCTATTACTATCATGACTGCAATTAGAAAATTATTATCTGAGTTTGTCCCACTGCTTGCCAACTTTGCCAACCATAATCATTTAATCATTAATGGTTATTAGCAGAATTTAACAGTGGTAAGTCCATTAGAGCAATGCCAAAGTCTTACCTCATCAGGACTAGGGATAATATTTACACTGACAACCTGATCACAAAGAACAGACTCTGAGTGTATTCTGTTCAAACGACTCCATAGTTCAGCATTCTGGTTGAGAGCCTTAAAATAATAAAATTGAATATTTAATTTTAATTGCACAAGAATAGTAAAAAAAAAAAAAAAAAAAAAAATAGAGCCAAGCTATCTTCATATCCTATATCTTGGCCAAACTATAGTGTCAGTATATAAAGTATTGGGTAGGATTCATTTTCAAAATTAACATCTCTTTGCTGATTATAAATGCTACTCCGCAAAGATTCCTTTATTTATTATGCATTAATTGCAACTACAGTATCATGATATTTCCCCCCAAGATTTTATTATTAGTGTTATGGAGGGACTGCCCTCTGGCCTTTCCATTGCCTCACCTGATTTGACCTGGGGAACTCAACTTTGATTTTTAAAAACATTGTCAAAATCAAGTCCCTTTAGAAAAGCTTGAAAAATGACCCTAAAACTGAATACAAAGGCTAGGTGGACATTTCACAAAGGACTTCGTTGTTCTTTGGATTATCCTTAGCATAGGTGCATCCTTCTCTCGGGTGACCATTGGAGAGTGTCAGGGATGAGAATGGCTCTGTAATTCATTTGGCAATTTGCAGATTTTTTTAAAAAAAAGATAATCTCTGTCCAGGAGCTTCCAGAGGACTTAGGAGGAATGAGGATTGAGAGACAGGTTTACTTCCACAATACTTCTACAACTCATGGAACAGCTTGCCTTCAGAAGTTGTGGGAGCTTTATCCTTGGAAGCTTTCAAGAAGAGACTGGACTGCCATCTGTCATAAATGATGTAGGGTCTCATGCTTGGGTGGGGGATAGTGGACTAAATGACCTCCAAGGTCCTTTCCAACTCTGTTAATCTGTTAAAAAATTCCCTGCTAGAAATCCATAGTCCATCACATTTTAGATAAGTCTGAGACCAGGATAAAATATCGAAGATCCATGTGCACCTTTTAAATAAAGCACAGCTTGGAAGGAAGGGTGGTAAAAATGGTTCTCAAATCTTTCCCTGTGGAATATTTGCTTATTCAGAAGATTTACTAGATTTACACAAAAAAAATCATCAGATTTCTGCATCTGTTTCCTCTGTGAGTAAAGGAGTAGGCCATTATTAGAAAAACAGCCTATACAGAAGAGGCTATGGAGCAGTGGTGGGTTCTGGATTCCATTCAAACCGGTACGGTTGGAACGGGCCCGGCATCGCCCACATGGACGTGCGTGCACATGTGCACGTGCTCATGCATACCTGCTAGCGATGCCACCCCCAGCCTCCATGACGCTCCAGTTGCTTGGCGGAGCGCCGCATAGGCGCTGTATGCACCATGCGCGTGCATGGAAGCGCCGAAAGCTTTAAAGGACAGGTAAGGGTGGGCCCTCCGGAGTACCGTACCGGGAACGGTACCTGGTGCTCTGGGCAGGCTCCAGTACGCCCGTACCAGGGCATACCGCCTGCAACCCACCACTGCTATGGAGCCTACCGACTCTTAGTGGTCCAACCAAATGTGTAAGGAGACATACCAGTTTAGAAATAATGTCTGAAACTGTTTTACATCTCATTATATTTGGCTATAAAGACTGAAACCCAATACAAACATCTTACCCAGAATTAGACTTACACCGAATTGGCCTGCACATCTTATAATGCAGATACTGACTTACTAGTTTCATTAGTTTACGAAAGAAAAACTAATTCAAAATCCTTTCCACTAAATTCTGTCATCTGATGGGATATTGGAGGCATCCCTTCTCTATAGCTGCCCTAGCTCTTTGGAATAGCCTCCCGACTGAGATTTGACCATTTTACCTGTCTGGAAGGCCCTGAAGACCTGGGTCTTCCTCCAAACATTGGACCAGGGTGGGGGTTTAGCCTGGAGATTGAGAGCTGATTGGTCAGACCTTGCAGGGAAGGCTCGCTCTATTTTTATTAGTTGTAAGTCACCTAGGTTCTCAATGTGAGAAAAGCAGCCCATACGAATTCAATAAACAAGCAAGCAAGTATCCATGCATGCATGCATAGTTTCCAATGGAAAGTGATCTGAATACTTGCTTAAGTAAAACATGCCTTTAATAGAAATAATATTTATAATAATGACTGCTGTTTGTAACTTCAGTATATCAATACTTATCACTGATATAATCAATCTCGCTCTCCCCCCTCCCCTCCACTCTCAAGTCAATCAAGTCAATCTTGACTCTTGGCAACTGGCTGAACAAGGGCTTGTAATTTTCTTGGGAAGATTTAGGAATGGTTTGCCACTGCTGTGTTTCTAGGGATGAGAATAAAGGATTGGATAAGTTGGCTCTGTGCCTGAGGCAGGACTAGAATTCAGTCACCCCAATTCTAGCTTGGTGTCTTAACCACAACACCATATTGGTTGTCATACTAATATTATCTCATACTTTTGATATACATTTGTAACGCATTGAAAATACTCTCCAAATAATCATTAACTTTTATATAATGGGACAGAAAAAAAATCAATAAACTCATCTCCTGAGCTGTCTTGTTTGTTATAAATTAGAAAACACACATTTTAATATTAACTGTTTAATATTTAGTTAAGTAAGCTAGACAATTTATGAAGCTGAATTCTATTCAGAAGCAGAATATGATTCACCAAAACACATCGCAATGATGGGAAAGCCAAGCAGGACTATGGACATTCTGGCAAACATTTTGGTGATCAAAGAAAGAGAGGAAAAGATTAGTAAAGAAAAATATGATTTCATTTGCTAACCCTGATTCTTTTCTAATTTTAGAAATGTTAATGTTCTTCTACAGAAAGAAACTCATAATAAGAAATGAAAACTAAATGATCAGAGAACCATAAGATGCCAGACTGGAAGCAAAATCGTATGCCATGATTTTATCTTTAAACCATAATAAAATAATTACATGACAATAAAAATGCTAATTGGGTCACTTAGATGATACTGTGGCCAGAGGCAAAAGAATAACATTCTACTAGATATGGATTATTTCATGAGAGGCTTTTTTTTTTCTTCCGCACTTCTTCTTTGCCTATTTTCCTCCCTATAGAAATTGTTGTACTAGGAAAGGAAATATTCTAGAATATTCAGTTTCAAGATATCCTATAAGTACTAATCAATAAACATTGTAAATAATTTCCTCCTCCTTGGGAAGGAAAAAGAGTAACAAAAGAGAAGAGGTTATAACCCGAACCTGTATTATCTAATCACCTCATGAAAAAAAAATGAATAAGGCAAGATGATTGCACAACAAAAGCCCTATTTGGAAATGTTTTAGAAATTAAAGCATGACATCAAGTAGAAAATAATAACAGTAAAACAAAGATGAAACAAAAACTATAGACCTTAACTAACCTAATATCAATATTAACTTAATTGTGAACTTATATAGATAGCTATATAGATGCTAAGGCAAAACTGAGGAGATATTAATGGGATTGTATATGCCTTACTTCCATGCAATTTATATTTATATTGAACTGTATTTATTACATTACACTACATTACCTTATTGCAAGTGCAGATTTTATTTAAACAGACTAATCGAAAGGAGGGAAGATACCTAAGTATTTGAGGATTTTTCAATGGTACCTTATCTCTGAAATACTCTCACTTCTTTTTTGCCTATTATCTCTGAAATAACCTTCTCAAAAAATGCTTGGCAGATACCTTCAGTATAGTCCCAAGACCAGGTCTCTTACTCTCCCAGGCAGATAAACACATTTTTGTGAATACTTAACAACTTTCATTGCTTCTATTATTACTGTGGTTTAATGCTGATTAATTGTCCATACTATAGCAGTTTGTAAGTTCTTATTTTGGTCATTGTTTTTTAATATTGGTCTTTTTAAAAAAAAACTACGTTTTACTTCATTCAAAGTTAAGTGGAATGAAACAGCAATACATAGAATAGCGTGATATATTATGATCTAAATTACAAAAGGAAACAAGGTCATGTTAGGCAATCATTCAAAAATTGCTGCTCTCCATAAAGATATCCATTTCAGCTGATATCTAAATAGGCAGATATCAGATTAATCAAGGCAGGGGTAGGCAACATTAAAGCCAACATTTAAAACATTAAAGCTGAAGCTCAAGACCCTCTCTTGTTACACGACTAAAATGTCAGATACCCACTGAAAATTGGAAATTGTTGTAAACCTTAGGATATAATTTGGGGGTGGGGGGAGAGGTTTCTTGTTTTTCTACATAAAAATAATTGGAAATTCTTGGACATATTGTGTCATATTAGTTTATTTAGCACCACACCCTCCCAGCCTAATAGATTTAAGTGATACATAGGAAACAGAGTCTATCACATTAACACTTATCCATAGCTCCCTTTACAACTTATACACATGTAAGAAAAAAGGAGGTAAAAGAAATGCTTGAAATGGAACTCTAGGGAGCAGAAAAACAAAATTAAAAATCAGTATAAAGTATAATGTTAATATCAGTATGTTTTCCAGCAGAAGCAATATTAAATTGATTTATCTTATACACTAGATTGAAAACACTAGGAAGGAAAAGAAATCACAGGCATTCATTTTTTATTATGTAACATGAAAGCATAAAAAATATGGAAATTATTTCTCGTATTACTTTGTATTATATTATCTATTAGAAAGTTGCTACGGATCATGTGCTATTAGAAACCCCCCAACCACACATACACAAATTATAGCTATTTCCAAAGTCAACATTTATTTTCCTATAACCTTACCTGAGAAAGTGATTGTCGGAGACGTAGCATCTGTGTGTTGTGTCCTGCAAAATCATGTTCTGTTACCATCTGTTTCAGCTTTTCCTTTTCTATTGCTATACTGTTAAACGCAGACTTCAAAAGAGAATGTACTGAAGAAGAAACAAGAATGTCTTTGAAAAACACTGTATTGTTTTTGTATGCAATTATTAAATGTAAATATAATAATATTAAATCTAAACAGTTAATGAAAAGAAGGACTAGGGGAGACATGATAGCAGTGTTCCAATAACTCAGGGGTTGCCACAAAAAAGAGGGAGTCAAACTATTCTCCAAAGTACCTGACAGTAGGACAAGAAGCAATGAGTGGAAACTAATCAAGGAGAGAAGCAACTTAGAACTAAGGAGAAATTTCCTGACTGTTAGAACCAGTGGTTGGTTCGGATTGGTTTGGCCGAACCGGTAGTGGTTTGGAGCTTAGGTCTCTGGAACAGGCAGCGACCCAGGCCTGCCACGCCCTCAAACTGTTTTTCCCTGTGGCACCGTAGGCGCTGCCATGTTGTTTTTGGCTTCTGTGCATGCGCAGAAGCATTTTTATAGTACTGCGCATGAACGCGCAGTACGCATCAAGCACACGCACGGACGCTGCACGATCACAAGCGAACTGGCAGTAGCGGCTGCTGGAACGCACCCCTGGTTAGAACAATTAATCAGTGGAACAACTTGCCTCCAGAAGTTGTGGTTGCTCTAACACTGGATGTTTTTAAGATGTCGGAATTACCATTTGTCTGAATTGGTGTAGGGTTTCCTGCCAAAGCAGTGGATTGGACTAGAAGACGTCCAAGGTCCTTTCCAACTCTGTTACTCTATTCTATTCTACATTATGCATTGCAGAAAAGCACTGTGCACTATACAGGTAGTCCTTGGAAAATGTTGTACAGGTACTCCTTGACTTACAACAGTTCATTTCGTGATCAATTACAATGGCACTGAAAAAAGTGATTGACCATTTTTCACACTTTCAACCATTTAGCATCCCCAGGGTCATGTGATCAAAATTTGGACACCTGGCAACTGGTTCATATTTATAATGGTTGCAGGGTCATGTGATCTGCTTATGTGACCTTCTGAAAAGCAAAGTCAATGGGGAAGCCAGATTCACTTAACAACTGCAATGATTCACTTAACAACTGTTGCAAGAAAAGTCATAAAATGGGGCGAAGCTCCATTAACAAATATTGCACTTAGCAACATAAACGTTGGGCTCAATTGTAGTCGTAACTCAAGGACTACTGGTATACAAAATACCTCTTTAGAATACTTTCACAACTATGTTCCCAAAACTGAAAAGGGTTGACAGCATCTCCAACATACACAGCATGAAATAGTGATTTTATATTCTGCTCTTAAAAATGTTTCAGCATACTGTGCTCTCTCTCTCTCAGCTCTTAATGATAGATTATTTTGCTTTTGACTTTTACTACAATGACAGTCTCAATAGAACAAAGGCTTCTTTTTAACGTTTAGATTAATACTGCTGAAAGCACTGCCACAGACTTGAGAAGTTTCAAGAAAACTAGCTGCTGATCTGATGAAAAACACACAAGTGATAACACAACTTTTATACAGATATAGCTGTCTACAAGTGTATCTATTTTGCATGTTAGCTGTAAGGATTCTTTGAAACCAATTCAGGAAGAAAAAGTCTCTTAGACATCTGATTCCACCTGTTTACATCTTCACAGATGAAATGGCCAAACAAGCAGCAGCGCCACGTGGGATACGGGCGTACTCACCTTTCTGAGCCATGAGGCAAAACTCTTCCTGGAGTTTTATGTAATCTGTGGAGCTTTCCAAAGGATCCGATACATGAGTGGGTGGGGTCTGAAATTCGATGTCTGCACAAAGGTTAGGATTAGATGAATGCAGTCGAACAGGAGACATTGTAGTACTAAAAGGAACCTGAATTGAAAATCAAAAGATACACCACACTGACTCCATGAAAGACCAGAAAAACCTTATAACACCTACATCTTACATTATTTTAGGCTTTATTATTATAAATATTTAGAAAGTTTATTTTAATTGCCTTCCCGTTAAGAGCAGTGATTCTCAACCTGTGGGTCGGGACCCCTTTGGGGGGTCGAATGACCCTTTCACAGGGGTCGGCTAAGACCATCAGAAAACACATATTTTCGATGGTCTTAGGAACCGAGACACCAATTTTATGGTTGGGGGTCACCACAACATGTGGAACTGTCGCGGCAATGGGAAGGTTGAGAACCACTGCATTAGAGGGTCCTTTCTGGTTTCTAACAGAACTCTGCTCATCTATTAACTGAACTGGAATTTACTTTGCAAAGTATCAGGTTAGAATGATTTTCTTTTTGTATAACTTATGAAGTTCAAACCATATAAACACAATTACCAGTAGTAGTATCCCTCCATCTCTAAAAGATGCACAGTTTTTGACTGGAGTATTACTGTATTTTCCAGCGTATAAGATGCCTTTTTAACCCAAAAAAATATTTCAAAAATCGGAAATTGTCTTATATGACGGGTATAAGAAAGGCCATACCAAAAAATCAAAACAAAAGAAAAAGCAATGCTGCCGAGCAAAAAGTCACGCCACCACCAGCACAGACGCCGGCCTTTCAATCGATAACCTCAGCACTCCTCGCCTGAGCACGTGGATGGATGAGTGCTGGGATGGCTTAGTAAGGTCTGACTGGCGGTCTGGAGGAGGAAGGTGCTGAGCTCAAACTATGGAAACCCGGCAGCACAGAGGGCTTCGGCGAGCTCACGGGCGCCTGAAAGTAGGGAGTCATCTTATACACCCAATCGCATTATACGCCAGAAAATACGGTAATGTATTGGGCGAATTAGCCTATCTTGGTGGTTGCTATTTTTATCACTCATTTTCGTTCTTCATTAACTGAAATAATGTTCTTTTTATCTCCATACACATGCACTATTACCATGAAAATGTTCCTTTAACAATTCCTACCATTTTAGCAAGTGATTGAAAACTATATCAAGTTATTTTTTTAAAATAGCATTATGGTGCTAGTCCTGTTTGGAAATTTATTTTTTAGTTTTGGACATATTGTAGGACTATATGGACTGTATTTAAGCAGTATTTTTCTATTATCTTAATAGTATTAATATTACAATAGTATTGACAGTAATAGCATTATCTTAAAACATAAAACATGCTTTTAGATTACTTAATGTTTAAAAAACAAAGACGTGATAAAAACAGCACCCTTTTACAAACATCACACTGAACATGTACTAGATTGTGAGATTCACATAATAGAGTGCTCCACGTTTCAGAACCACAAGTGATTATAGTGTGCGAACTTCCTACAAAATGTGAGTAAGCAATTCATGGAATTCCATCAAAAATCCTCACCTGGAAGCGGTCCACACTTTTGTTTATTTTGCAGCAAGTGCCAAAGTTAGACTCCTTTCTTTCAAATCAATGCTGATGCTTTTTGAACATTAATTGAAAAATACTTATGCTACACAAGAAATAGATACAGTTTTCAATACACACACAGAGCTAACACTTATAATGTACAAATGCAAGAGTCTTCTAAAGACAGCAAAGTGCAACAAATCATATATTGGAGGGGAAGGAATAAAATAATGGATTTTAATCAATACCTGCCAGAATTATTCTGAAAAAGCAGATAACTGAATGGTGGCATTTTAGATGTATATTACAATTCAGTTAATGCTTTCAGTACATATTTAAACAGCTCAGTAAATTAAAAAAAGAAATTTTCCCAAAGAAGAGTTAAGATTAATATTGAAGGAATATATCTCCAAATCTCATACTATTTAGCTACACTGTTTTGGTGTCTAAATCAGAAAAATTTGAAAATATATTGTAGTATTTTTATTTATACTAGCTTTCCCCCATGCTAATAAAATGTTCTTGAATTCAATTCTCGATAACTTTATGCATGATGATTTTCAACAATTATCTGGAGATCATGATCTCAAACTATCCTACATAATGTTTAGAATTAAGATTTATTGAATATCTCAAAAGGCCCAGTATCGTATGCCATCTCACTTTTTATTATTTTCTAAAATATGTTTGCTGTACATATATTAAATGTACATTGAATGTGTATAATTTTAATACAACGCATATGTTCAATTTTGAGATATATCTGTAAAACCTATCCTAAATATGTACGCAGTCTGACATGCTCATAAAAACAAACACACTACAATAATATAAAAGCTATTCCATGGTATCGACATGCCCAACGCAAGTAAAGTTAGATATGTAATTAATTTTATTTTAAAATTTACTCCAATTCAAATTGCTCATGTAATTTAAGGACCAATACTAGGAAAAATATTATGGAATACAGCTGTGCACACTTCGAACATGACACCAATGGGGTTTTGATCTCACACAAGTGCAGCGTCTCTCTGCTGATCATTTAAGGTACCCCATTTAAATATTTTTTTCTATAAGCTTGAAAAAGGGTGCAGCTGTTTTAAGAACTGCAAAAACTTTAATGTGTGGATGCCTTCATTCCTTCACAAGACATCCTAACTGCTCCTTCCTAAGAGCTTTCAAAGCTTGCCCTGCCAATCACCCAAAAAATAAATAAATAAATAAATTGCAGTCTTTTGAAATAATCTGAACAACAGCAACATAAAAAGTCACATCACTCCATACTTCAATAAGATTATTTCATTTTCCATACTATTTGAAACTGGCCTAAAATAAAATTGTTACCAAGTTTTCAAACCTGGACTGAAATTCTTATTTAACTCAACTATAATTCTGTTGCATTTCTTTCCTCTAGTTATTCTAACTGAAAGGTTAAGTTCCATTTAAGCTATCATCTGGAATCCCATTTAAATCAACTAAGTTCCAATATTTAAGCCCCAGTCCAGCTGAAACTGAAAAAAGAAGAGGAATTTGCAATGTTATTGTCACATGCACATAATGGATTATATTCAACTAAACATATACTACTGCAACAACACTTTCCCAATCTTTTCCCTTGGAGAGAATATAGAAGAGGAATGTATGATTACACTGACAAAGAAATCTAGATACCGTCCTGAGGTATTAGCACTGAACTGTAAATCTTTCCAGGGAAGAAATAAACTAGGACAGTGATGGCACCAAGCACCCAAACTGGAACGTGTGTGCGCGGGCATGTATGCGCGTGAGCACTGGAGACCAGCTGGCAGGTGTGCATGTCCACACTGGCCACCAGGTCTTGTTTTTCGGCGTGCACACCAGCCAGCTGCTCTGTGTGCCAGAACCCCGGACCACCAAAGACCAGCTGGCCAGTGCGCATGCGTACACGGCCACCAGGAACATGCGAAGATCAGCATGTGTGCTGGAAACCAGAAGAGCAGCTGGCAATGGAACACGTGCCCACAGAGAGGGCTCTGGCGTGCCACCTCTGGCATGTGAGCCATATGTTTGCCATCACAGAACTAGGATCTTCTCTTCAAAATGGAAGCAGGAAAGTGTTGAAAATTCACTTGTATAAATATGAATCATAGTTTGACTAAACCATGGGGAGCGGAAAAAAACCTTATAAGACTGAGGGCTAGAGCAACACACCTTGCCTTCAAGAGGCTTTGAAAACACTTCTCCAACATGGGGAAATCATCTCTTGCAATAATGACTTCCTTTGATGATGATAGGAGACAAGGACAGAAGTTCACATGAAGTTACCGGTAACTCATTCTCTGGAAACTTCTGGGGAGATTTATTTATACTCCATAGACCAAATATTTATTTTGTGTATGCTCTTTCAAAAAGCTAGGATCTAAAGAGCTGCAGCACTTCCCCCATCAAAGAAACAACTGCTATCATTTTTAATATTTAATATTTTCTTAATCTTGGAAATTTGAAATCAAGAAAATAACTACCGTATATTACCCAAGGATCAGAGAACAAGAAAAAAGAAAAGAAAAGAAGACTCGGTTTTATTTCCTGAGAAACACGGTAGGTGTTCCTCAACTTACTCCCTCCACAATTAGCCCAAAATTTCTGTTGCTAAGCAAGACTGCTTTTAAGTGAACTGTACCCCATTTTACGACCTTAAGTTAATAACATGAATGTTAAGCAAATCTAGCTTCCTCATTAGTTTTGCTCATCGGAAGATTGCAAATGGTGATAACATGATCCCAGGACTCTGCAACTGTCATAAATACATGCCAGTTGCCAAGGGTCCAAATTTTGATCAAATGACCATGAGGATGTGCAGCAGTCATAAGTGTGAAAAATAGTTATGTCACTTTTCTCAGTGCCACTGTTAACAGTCACTAAACAAATAGTTGTAAGTCTAGGACTACCTACAATTTCTGATATATTTGGTCGGTCCAGCTGTAAGCACAATTCCAATTCTTATTTTTTATGTTGAGAAGGATTTGGTTGTGTCAAAGTTAATTTCCTACCAAATAAGCCTGCCTGAACAAGAAGTCTAGTGACATATACAATCAACAGATAGTTCCTCAATAATGACTTCCTTAAATGTGTTAAATTTAAAATGTCCTACATATGAAAAATCAAGGAGGGAGGAACACTTTTAAATTTTTCTTGGCATCAAATCTAATCACTGCAGTAACTTACTTCATTTTCTGATTTTTAATTTTATTAATATTGTTATTTTGAATCACTATGTCTTTTGGTAAACATACATTGCTTTTGTTATTTGTAATATTCTACTGAATTGTTTCAATTATCTAATATTCTGTATTACAGTGCTCATAATGAAATAAATGTATTTTATATATTAATATGCTAATTAGCATTAGCATTAGGACACAGTCACTTGTTACTTTAAATATCAAAAACTCTCATTATAAAAGTCTCAGGCATTCTCATTTTTTTGGGAGTCAAATGTAAACAATTAAATATCTTCACTTTAAATTATTGAATTATGTGTGCACTCTTTTACTTCCCTTATTCATATTAACCCAACTTTATTTCATTGATTAATTGATTGGTTTGCCTTCAATTAGATGTCTTAGTTATTTAAAAAGAAAAATAATAAAATATTAACAGTAGGTAGTAATGTGATTTTTTTGATAATGGAGCAGATATGAAACTTATCTAATAATGTAATGCAATAGAACATAACATGAAGGAAATCATTAATGGGGCTAGTACATAAATATTTTTTTCTATTAAAAGAATCAGTATGAGATTCTGAACTGAGAACTAATGCTACTCAGATTTCACTGAGTTCACTTCACAATGAGACTGGTGTGTGTGTGTGTGTGTGTGTGTGTGTGTGTGTGTGTGTGTGTGTGTGTGTGTGTGTGTAAATACAACATATATAGGCATTTGATAGTTTTATTATCACTCCACTTTAGGTCATTCAGATTTTTTGGGAGGGGGCATTATTTATATATAAAAAAGAGAAAACAAACAAACAAATAATTTTGGATACACATACACACACAAACATACTTTATCTCTTCAGGGGGAAAGTGGATTGAGCAAGATCATAACTAAAACCCTTTCTCAGTAAGCATCCACATTTTAAATATATATTTGTGTGTATGTTTGTATGTGTGTAGTTTTCTAGTTTTTCTTACTATATAAATTTAATTATGTTTATGAAACTCAATTGCCTGGCTATGTATTTCTCTTTTGATTGTTGTTTTGGTGGTATCTAAAATCACTATCCAAGAGGAAGCAGAATAATTTTTAAAAGGAAAAAAAAATTACAAGCTACATAAAATTAAATTAAAATCTCAAGGTAAATGAATGCTTCATATCAAATGTCAAGTATAATTTTCACACGATTACAAGGATCAAATCAATAATTAATTGAAATGGCCAACATGTCATGTTAGAATGAACATTTCCATCAAGTCTTAAACTTCTATCGTCACTGAACAATTCAAGCAGAAACAAATGTATTAAAGCTTCAAATTAAGAGAAACCCAAATTCTGAATGTGTTACCAGTCTATATATAAAATCATTATTTATAAATGTTTCCAATTTGAATTAAATTCTATGTTTGACTCGCTTTTCAGGTATGAAACCTCTATATTTTCCCACAACTTAACTTTGCCACTCTTCCGGAGAGGGAAACACATGTGGTGATTTGGTATTTTTTAAGCTTTTCTTTCTGTTTAGCTCACATAATTTACCTACAGAAAAGGAACACATAGTCTGTGGCCACAAAACCTAGGGGGGCCCTCCAAAATCTGGGGAACAGTCCCTGCACTTGTTGCCCCTAATTACAACTTTTGCAGATGTCACAGAAAAATACTAAATGCATGAGGATGGAGCATATTCATTATACTTAATTTAGCCTACATTTAATTTAAACCAACATTTTTCTTTCCTTCACTCCAGACATTGGTCAGTTTGGCCCCTGTGTTGGGGGGTGCTTCCTAAAATGCCATTCAAAGGCATTTTAGGTGGGTCCCCAACTAAAAAAATCAGGACGCATCCCTCCCATAGGTGGCCATTCATAAAAAGACTTAATTTCTGTCATGGGAGAAGTGAATGAGAGGGAAGGAGCCAGACTCCTTCCTATATTACACCAATATAATAGCCACGGTAATAGCAACAATTCCTGACAATGTAATGTATGTAATGCTTTACATACTGCTCATAATGAGCAACACCATGGCTATAAAACATAAAAAGAATTAAGCTCAGAAAAGAGAAATACAACCACTTATGTGAGAAATGGCTATATAAACGATACAATTTACGGTCCAGTCAAACTGAAGGCTTTTTGCTAGAACCGCACTTTCTCTCTCCAAAGTCAACCGGATCTAAACTCCACGAAGTTTGGCTAGTAGGGTGCTTAAAAACACTTTTGTAAATTCTTATAAATCAGAGCTTTATGAACCCATTTGTAGTTGTATATAAATATAAATGTTTGCATTCCGCCACCATCCCCCCTTATGTGACAGCTCTAGTTTTCCAACCTTGCCCTCTAAACTTCCCCAAGGGGACCAGCCTCTGAAGGGCTCCAAGCTCTCCATATGATAAGTGCATGTTCCAGGTATACAGTTTCTCATCTTTAAAACTGGAGGTGCCGTGACTGAGGCGTCCACTCACTGTTGTAGCCACTGCTGCTGCTAGTCTCTGCCGGCGCCGTGCAGTACCGAACTGGCCCTTCAGAGCAGTCCCTTCCTGACAGGTAACATGAAAAGAACAGGGAAGCAAAAAGAAGGAAGAAGAATGATGGAAGGCAAGAAGGAGACAGATGATCAAAGGAAAGGTTGATTTTTAATGGAATTTTCTTCCTAAAAATGCCAAATTCCATAACTTTCTGAAGCTAAACAGAGATTGTCTATCTTATCCTACATCTACTGTATGTTTGAAGAACGGAAAATTATATTCTTCTTCAAGTAAGATAATTAAACTAAATGAAATTGCATTGCTTGTTGTCTGGCCAATTAAGGAAGTAGGTAAACAAATAATCAAATCTAGCTATAATTCAATATTGCCACTCTATGAGGAATCATCAGAGTTTATCATAGGTCATAGTAGTAAAGAATATTTTGGTAGAGAAGAGCATGCTTTGTTTTGTCATATGCAATAGAAATTCAAAATATTTGTTATGCAGCTTTCTCAGTACCATCTGACTGTGGTCAACCATGATTTGTTGTATGTCTAACCATTTATCATGAAAATAATTTAAAAAACAGGTATGGGATGAAAAGACAACAAAAACGTAAGAATGTGACATTCAGATGATTTACTTTGTATTTCTAATACAATCACCTGGAATGTTGCTTTATGCTTTACAGGTTAGCAGGATGGCTACAAGAAAGGGGTCAAAAAAGCTAAGATAGCGGCCAGTACCATGCAATTCAGACACTGAATTGTATCGTAAGGACTTTTGAGTGTATGATTGTGGCAGCCATCAAGACTTTTTGACCTCTCTGCAGACTTCCTGCAAGTTAGCTAGACAAAGTAAGCTCATATTTTAAGTTTTTTCTAAACTGGCTATTTTCTACAATCAACCTCCTGTAGATTTTTGCATTATTAATCTGTCTGTTCATTTCCTTTCAAAACTATTCTGCATCCCCCATCCCCAAATAACCCCAAACATTAAATAATTATCTCTGTGTTTCATCTACCAAAGGAGTCTTTCAATATCTTTCAATATTCCATCTAAGATTCACTGTAAAATTCAGTGCTACGATTCTACTGGTTTGGCAACCGGTTCACTGAGCACGCGCTTCGTCTTAAGCCTTGGCTGTAAGCTTTTCTAGCTGACCAGCTCAGAGTCTTTAACCACTAAGCAAACGCACCCTGTCAATAAATTATTATTATTAAATCAGAACAGTCGTCTTAAGCCTTGGCTGTAAGCTTTTTTAGCTGACCAGCTCAGAGTCTTTAACCACTAAGCAAACGCACCCTGTCAATAAATTATTATTATTAAATCAGAACAGTCTTGCAAAATTAATATATTACAAATGTATTTATTTTTTAGCACATGGCTTATCATACACAGGCTAGCAATATATATCAACATTTCATCTAGATTAGCACAACTCAATAAAATATAAATGTTAAAAAGATCTATGTTCAAAAACCAATATCTGGGTAATGTAACCATTGAAGTGCAACATCGTTTATATTTTAAAAAACCAGATACTGGGCTGGTTTATGTCCTCATCTTACAGGCAGTCACAATGTGATCTATAGTTTGACATGGGATCCCTTAGTCACACTAAGGGGAGGATACTCTGCCCTATTTATACAGAGCATCCCTCTACATTAGAAATAGAAACAGTGAAATTAAAATTTGGATCCAGGCTTTCAGACCAATCCTCATTAATCCCATATATATCACTAAAATATCAATGTACATAAAAATATAAAGCTATGTTTTAGAATGCTGCAATATTAATTTCTTTGTTTGTTGTTTAATGTTGGTGATAGAAAAACAATCCTTCAGACTGTTAACTGTTATTCTAAAATCTTTCCACGTAATTTCAAAAACATTACATTCATTTCGAAATGTGCAAATCCTATAGGCCTCTGAATTATACCTTCTGTGTGGGAAAATTAAGATAAAGAGGCACAAAGCAACAGAATTTTTGAAAGCATGGAATAATTTTAGAAAAATCCCTTTGAAATTTCTGGTATGAAAAAAAACAGCTCCATCACTGAGGTCCTGCACTCAGGCAAGAAAAACCAAATACACAGCTACAGAATAGGCAATAGCAACAGCAATAGCACTTAGAATTTACAGCCCTCTCTAAGGAGTCTACAGAATTAGCATATTGCCCCTAACAATCTGGGTCCTCATTTTACCGACCTCAGAAGGATGACTTGGTGAGAATTGAACTGCCAAACTGCTGGCAGCCGGCAGTCAGCCTGCAATACTGCATTCTAACCACGACATCACCACCAGTATCTGGCCCAATAGTAGTAACTGTTGAGAAGGATCTGGGACTGGTGTCCTAGCAGACCATTATGCAAGTATGTTCCAGCAGTGTGCTACAGCTGTCAAAAAAGCCAATGCAGTCCTAGACTGCATCAAGAGAGGAACAACATCAAAAATATGAGAAGTAAAACAATCTAAATTTAGTATTCCTTACACAAGACATTAACTGAGATATACTGTATAACAAAGCCACTGCTATATAAACACTTCATGGAAAGCATACCACAAAGATTGTTTGACGAAAGTGTTACATCCTCCATATGTTTTTTAAAAACCCTCTTGTTCAATGCATTTTACTTATTACCGAAACATAATTCAAGTAGAAAATGAAATATTTTATATGCAATCAGTTTCCCTTCTTATCTGATTAACTGTACAGCAATTAACACTGCCTTGCAAATAGTCAGATGTTAGAAGGTAGCTTTTTCCAATTGATTTTGGGGAAAGATATAGTAGGTTGTCTCCAAGCTAGAGGCCAAAACTAATTCCAGCTTGAAGGCACATATTTTGAACAGAATCTTTCATTGCAACGCTCCAATGGTATGGCTCAGTTAACAACATGTTCTCTCCTACTTCTAACTTCAGAAAGAATACAGTGGAAGTCATGATTCCTTTTTTTTTCCAGGAAGAAAAAAAATCAATTTGTCCTGTACACTTATAAGCAAGCAATTTGTCAGCCTCTACTTTCCTTGCTTGCCACCGGCTGCCATAGAAATGGGGAGGGGGGGCTGAGATATTTGGGAGGGGGAATTACTGGTGCTGGAGGAGTTATAAAGAAGGGTGTTTTGTTCTCACCATCTTCTGCGCATGCTGGTGGCCTGTGTTTGGATTTGGTCAAGGCCAACCGTCTCGCATACCAACTTGATGAGGTTTTTTGAAGATGCACCCCACATGACACCTTAGGAAGTTGCAGACTGGACATTGGGTTGGGGAATTGTGGGGGGGAGGGTGTTGGGTAAACGTTTGATATGTACATGTTCGCGCTTTTTTGACTCAGATCTTGCTTTCCTTTTCGCTACTTTCAATTAATATCTAGTAATAGTACCTTATCTCTATTCAAATGGAGTTGAGGTTTTTCTTTCTTGGATATGGAAGGAGGCATGCCTGACGCAATTGTCATTATACCTATATTATTTCTCTAAGCAGAAACCACTTATTTTCAAGCTTGCAATAGTCTTTTCATGAAAATAATGTCATTTTTTTAAAAGGTGAAGATATCCCACTTCACTCATGAAAGAAAGGTTTATAAAGTTGTTAGAGTAAATTCTTCCATAAATAATAGATTCCATATTGCCATATTGCCATTTTTTGCTATCAGGGTAGTATCAACAACATGTTATTGATGTTTTTCCTCCAATTTTAAAATCATGACATACTTCAATTCAGTCATCCTTACTATATAGTCAGAATACAGATTGAATAAATAAGGGGAAAGTGCATAGTCTTGACTTATTCCTTTGCCAATCTTGAGACAGTCTATTTTACCATGTTCTTTCTGCACTATGGCTTATGCATTTATGAAATATAAATTATGGTTTATATTTTCATAAACTCATAAAGTAATAATCTTTGGTTTGATCTCCAGTTGTCTATTCCCACTGTTTCTGGAAAGTCAGTCAATGATTCTCATGAAGATCTTCCCAAGGTCTTGTAAAAGTCCTAAATCTCAGTGGCTTTTGCATTTGCAACTATTGCCATTTTCCAAAATAGCAATTTTAATCGTTCATTTCCATGCAATAGAAACTTCCTCTGACTGCCAAATAATGGGAAATAGTGAATGTAGTCATTGAATTACATTATCTCTAACTTTGGATATCTTGGCTCTAATTCCATTCATTCCAGCCATTTTAACATTTTTCAATAGATTTAATGCTGTTTTCATTTCATTAAATCCAGCATCCAAGACATGATTTTGTGGTGCTTCGATGAGCAGTGGACCTACTGGTATCCTCAAAAACCTCATGTTCGTATAGTTGCTGAACAATTACCTTTGAAATTGTTCATTTGAAGACTCTACACATATCACATCACACACACACACAAACACACACACACAAACACACACACATAATGGTCTTTTCACTACTTGTTGATTTCCCTCCCCCTATATTAAGGCATCTAGGAAAACAAAACTTTGGGCATCTATACAAGCATGTTTTCTGATACAATATCTCTTTTGAGTACATAAACCTTGCACACTGCTGCTGTGTGTAACTGCTCTGTAAGTATGGCGAGTAAATGTGATTTCCCAAAATATGTTCACACACAAAATAGACACATATATTCAACATGTAACTTATAGTGTCTTGATAACAAAGAATCATATAGCTTCTGCACAATCTATTTAGGTCTTTCTTTCTTTCCTTCCTTCCTTCCTTCCTTTCTATCTGTCTTTCTTTCTTCCTTCCTTCCTTTTCATAGAGGAGAAATGATACGGCTACCAGATCAAGGCTGTAAAATCCAAAGAACCACTAGATCAGGGGTGCCAAAGTTATGGCCTGTGGCCCGGATTCGTCACGTGCTGGTCACGTCCACTCCCAGTTTAGCGAAGGGGAAAAAGTCACGATACGTCATGTGACGACGACACAAGTTTGACATCCCTGCACTAGATAAATTTTTATAGTTATCTGCTACTTTCCAGTGGTCCTCTGGATTTCTGCAATGCGGTCTGGCAGTTCTAAGAAAGGACAAATAATTCCAAAAATAATTTGAACAGCAGACCTTAATTTTCAATTTTTAAAAAGCTATCAACAATTAAATATCCAGTAATTCAAATTCAAGTTAAGTTTTATGTTTTATCATTTTTAACAAATACTTAACCAAACCATAGTTAAAACAGTGAACTCAGTACCTGAAGCTGTATTTTAGCATCTTTGCTCACACTTTTTGTTCTCCATCTTCTGGTGACACGCTTGTCTTTCTTATCTACACTGTTAGCCTATGTTATAAAATAATTAAAGTAGTAAAGCGTTGGGTTAAAGCTGACAAAGCTGACATGGACAATACTGCAAAAGTTAGTAACAAACACTGAGCATTAGTTGACTGCCAAACATAAGCAAAGTGCTAATCTATACATTATGGTACAGATAAAGCAAACATGTCATTAAAGACAGTTCCAAAAATAAAAATTGCAGGACAATTCTTCAACCATTTACAATAAACTATTCTTTCTAAAATTTGCTAACTAGGATCATTCCATTTCTCAGAACAGTTCTTAACACGAATAACAAAGAACAAAAGGGCAACTGAACATTAAATTTAGAACAAATTTAGGCTTAAAAATTATTTCAGTTAATGCTCATTAAAGAACCTGACTGTAATAATGAATAATTCTGCATCACCTTGTGTCACCCTAGAAGTTCATATACTGGCAATGATATGGCTGTTAGCAGCGAATGTTCATAGAGAATATTTCAAATGCAAAATAGATAGTATAAGCAATCATTATTTTAATAATTTTTAAAACAATTTTATTTACCTGCATATCTGTGAAACTAGGTGCTGACTGAGTTCTCTGAAGTATTTCTAAGTTCTGAAGAATTTTACTGAGTTTTACAAGATTTGATTGACAATGTGCAAGATCTGACAAAAAAAAACAGATTTAGGACAATAAAAACTTACTTTGATTAAGATTTTATTTGCTAGAGGAACACAAGAAACTTACTGAAATGATGACATCTGAAAGCCCCATTCTCCATTAACATTCCATAAAGGAAACAAGATAATCACACAGTAAAAATCCATAAAGTTCATATTATGCTAATATATTTTGGGCTCCCTTCTCTATTCCACGCAGCTGTTAAAATTTCTTCCTGCATATCCCCAAACCTTCTCAGAATTAACTTAACAGATTGGGGGATATCATGATGGCAAATTATTCCATATGCAGAACAGAACAATTTATGTGCTAGTGGGAAGACCCATTGAAAAAAAAACTCCCTGGAAACACTCAAAGAGTTTTGGGAAGGTTTTTATTCTTTGATTCTCCTATCTTCTTAAACTGTATTTCAAGGCAAATAATAGGAACATTCTAAAATTCATTTTAGGTTATCTTTAATCCCTACAATTATTATTTCTGAGTTAAATGAGAACTATTTAAAAACTTTTAAAGGATACATTGAAGTAGAAAGTATACAATACGTTATTATTATCTATAATAGAAATGACAGAATTTTCAGCTCTGTATTACAGAGATATATATTACAAAGGAAATACTTGTTAAGTTGAAGTTGAGAACTTTTAACTATAAAATATACAAACATTAGAAAAGACTTTTGATTAGTCCTGAAAATCTGAATGTTGATGGTTCTTGGGAAAATGGCATATAATTAAAAAGAGGGGGCTTCATTTTAAATACAGCTGAGGGAGATTTCCTATATTTTTTGCTACATAAGAGTAGAGTAGAATAGAATTCTTTATTGGCCAAGTATCATTGGACACACAAGAAATAACATACAATAAGTACATTTCCATAGCTTCAAGCTATGTTCTGCATGTAGCTCTATCAATAGTAGTGAAGATTAAAGGAAGGAGGTGCTGACCTTCTGCACACTTGTCCATCTCCTCCGATTCTTGTAACCAAGCAACTACTTTACTTTGGCCAGTAGTACATGTTTCAGGTAGACTGCTACTGCAAGGGATAGTCGGTTGCCAGGGGAAATTATTCTGTGAAACCTAAAGAAAGATATAGCCACATATATGCATATACCTGTGAGAATTCTGGGAGAAAAACTGCCTGTGATAAAAATATAGTGATAATTGTTGTTCTCTTCCTTGAAACTTGAAGCATGTATGTGTAGGTTTGTTTTGCCCCACTTTACAACTTTTGTTAAGTGAGTCACTACAGTTGTCAAATTAGTAATGCGTGTTGTTAAGTGAATCTGGTTTTCCCATTGACTTTGTCAGAAGCTTGCAAAAGGTGATCACATGAACCCGGGACACTGCAACCGTCAAAAATGTGAGTCAGTTGTCAAGCATCGGAATGTAAATCTCATGACCATGGGAAATGATCACTAAGTGAACTGTTGTAAGTCAAGGACTACCTGTACAGAGTAGATTTCTTTGTTGAGTGTGTTCTTTTTGATGTTAGTGTTACTCATATATAATGGCATCCATTTTCATTTGCATCCACAATGGAGAAGAATTAGTGAATAGTAATGTTGTGTATTACAAAACAACTATGTATGAACTGAAGGAAGGTATTCTTCCTGACCAAAAAAGATTATACCTTAGTTTCCAGGACTGTGGCATTAGTAGCTGGTGAAGATTCAGTGGTGGAAGTTGAAGGGAATATATGGAAACTGGCATCCCGTGGCGATCGCACAATCTCATTCTGACGATATAATCTATGATGGCGCAACTTGGACACCCAAGCATCAAATGAATCCTGGGATTTTACCTAATTAAAAGATCAGTGTGAGTGAGGAATCCAATAATAGTATTTGATCTTCCTTTTACAGCAAAACTTGAAAATACAAAATAGTAGAAATACTCCTTACTTTTAAATGGTAGATATGCTCCTCGGTATCAAGATCTATCCTACGTGCTTTCTTTTTAATTGACATAACTGATAATCCCACATCTATGCTGCCATGAACCTTCCCTTTCTGAGTCTGAAAAAAAAATAAAGAAAAGTAAACATATGCACATTAAGAAATAAAAGGCAAAATTTGTAAGTTATCACTCTTTAGAATGGACAGACAGATGAATAGCTTTCTGGAATGTAATGCAAGGGTACATAAAATAGCAAAAAATTAGAAAATGTTGGGAAGACATTATCACACGCTGCTTATCAGGACAGGATAATTATGTAAGAAGCGCACTGCTTTTTTTCCCACACATACATATCAACATTTCACAGGCCGAGTAAATAAAAGATGTGGAATAATTATGTATAAAACTATTTTAAGAACAAAACCAACCAAATGACAGATGTTTAAATATGAGAATGAAAAACAAACCTGCAATTACAATTGAGATAATCTACATTTGCGTACAGGCAAAAATTACACATCTAATTTAAGTGACATTTCTATGACAGCTACTTTCATTGCTAAATAAATAAATACAGATTAACACTGGCTCACCTATGTAATAGTAAAAGCTATGATGATAAAAATGGCTAATATAACTCTGGCAAGATACATCATTCATATGTAAATACTATAGCAATAGCAATAGCAGTTAGACTTATATACCGCTTCATAGGGCTTTCAGCCCTCTCTAAGCGGTTTACAGATTCAGCATATCGCCCCCACAGTCTGGGTCCTCATTTCACCCACCTTGAAAGGATGGAAGGCTGAGTCAACCTTGAGCCGGTGAGATTAGAACCGCTGAACTGCAGATAACAGTCAGCTGAAGTGGCCTGCACCCTAACTACTGCGCCACCTCGGCTCTATAGAAATATTATATCTGTAAAGATCAATTTATACTAATAAATAATAATAGAGAGTTTCTGTCCTCATGAAAATTTGTACCTGTATAAATTCCAAAATAGGCCCGAAGGCACAAGCTACATAAATAAACTTATATTTATCATTTATTATACACTTATTTCAGAAATAACTGAAAATAATGTTATCTAAATAGTTAACTCTTCCTCTGAACAAAATATCAACATGTTCTGAACCAATTTTCCCTTCCCATGATTATACACAAAAGGAAAATTAATTATAACTAAGATCACATGTGTTTTATGAGCATTTTGTGCTGAAACTCTTGTTTTATAAAATAAGTAACAAAATGTACTTAATTCTAACATACTATATATAGTATGTTACTGTATATATATACTACATATAATCTATGAAGTTCTAAAAATGCAACAAAAACTAAATTCATCTACAATATTGTAGGCCTTGATTTATATTGCTGTTTATTTAAATTGCTAGATTATGAAGTTTCAGCAATAATTATTTATTATTTTAATGTTTTTATGGGCTAGAATTTTTTCAATGTTTATATAATTACTGGCTTGTATTATTATGGTAAAAATAATTGCTTTATTATGGCCTACAATTACCTTATCATTAAAATAAAACAAAGTTACAATTTAAAATCTCTAACCACTACTTATTAGTATGGTAAACACTTGATTTACCAATATTCATTAAAAATTGGTTCATGAAAGCAATGGAGAAAATTCATTTACAGTTTTATGTATTCCCTTTGCCATTTAATGAACACTCAGATCTAACAATTATCCCTTCCCCTCTATTGTTCTGTGAAATTGAGGTTTTGATGTATTTTGTAGTCCATTGAGCAGCAAATGGCACATAGAGAGTTTCCAAGGCATTTGACCTACAAAGACACAGGTGCTGCATAATAGGTACACTGATAATATCAATCAAATAATATTGCAAAAAGCAGAACATGTAGTATTAAGGCAAGAAGTTGGTATGCTTTCAGTTTTAAATCTTAATACTTTAAGAGCCAGAGGGTGGAATTTGCTGGCTCATTATAAACAGGAGTTTGCCCTGACAATCTTACTCGGGGCGTGCTTTCTTCCTTGATGTAGGGAGAAACCACAGGAAAGAGATTTCACCTCTAGGTGATGAAATAACTGCTGGAAAACAATCAAGCTCAAAAACACTAAAAACCCAGGAGGTTAAAAATTATCTAATTGCCACAAATAAAATCTGGCAAATTATAAAACTGAAAAATCCAGAAGGTTTGAGATAAAAGGAGGAGGATGGGGGGTGGAAAGCGGAACTGAATGGCAGGACTATACCTTTTCTCTGCAGTATAGGAATATCTGCATCACTACTGGAACTAAGCATCCAAATAATATGTAACACTCATTTTTTTAAAGGCCCCAGGGTTACTTACATCAATTGGTGACTTTGAATATTTCAACATTCCATTGTCCAGAACAAAAAAGCGCTGCAGAAAAAAAATATGTAGGAGATCACAATGCAGTGGAGACTATATAAAGACATAAGCACACTGCAGGCAGCAATAAACATCATTACAAGAAATGAAGGGCCAAGACAGGGACAGATTTTCCTAGTTATCTGATTGGTCTACATCAGCTTGATTGGACATGGTCAATCAATCAATCCTAAAGATAAATCATTAAAGTTGATTCGTGAATTGAGCTATGGTATATGGCAATACAATCCATCACTTTTTTTTTATAAATATCTCAGAGGTTCATACAGAAACAAAGTAGTTTCAGTATGGGTAAGAACAGGACCTACTGTATGTACTCCTCTTGAATAAGGAGCCCTGATGTCCCCAGAGCAGAGAAAGGAAGGATCTATCGCCCTTCAAAGTAGTCTAGACAAGAAGCACAAAACAATGCTAACGCTACCTTTACTATAAGGTTATAGAAATAAAATCTTGCAAGCCTGAAAGCACTTCCCACATCGTTTTCCTTCTAGAAAACTAGGGAGGGTGCCTTCTGAGATGCTTCCTACACTCTTTTTCCTTCTCTGGACTGAGATATTTTGGCGTGATAGTTATCCAGTCTGCGGCTCTTTCTCTTGCTTCCCAAGGTCATTCCAATAGACCATGACAGAATCAGACTGACACAAGCAGCACTGCAGCATTTGATGCAAACCCTGCCTCTGCCTATGTGCAATGTGATGTAACAAGGGTATCTCAAAAAAAAAGAGAGAGAGAGCAGTGCTTCAGATGCAATACTGCTTCTGCTTTCATCGTTCTGACAGAAGCAGCAAGATTCTGCGGCTTGTACCAATAAGGGGCCTGTCTGAATTTCTGAAAGGGTCTCTCTTTTATTTGACAGAATTGAATCAAGGCATGCATGGGGCAATTTCAATAACCCTACTGAATTACTGCGTCTGAAAGTTTTGACTAGAATTGGGTTTCTGAAGGCTAGGATCTTAAGCAACTTTACTTGGCAGAACCCTTTAAATGTTTTCCTGCAAGTCTTTGCATCAGGATCAGAATTAAAAGACACAAAGGCCTCAAAAGTCAAAAATGATACACTTTTTATAAGAACCATTCCTGTCAAATGCTTCTCCAATCTCAGAGAAACTCTTACTTTCTTAAACACCTACAGTTTACCCATTTTCATACATCATACTCAAGGATTTCTGTATTATCACTTCATTCAATAACTGATTGTGATAGAGTCTGAACAATTCCTTTTTACAATAATCAAACCAACATTCAATGAGGCAGACAGACATTATTAAGTTTTAAGAATAGTTAAAAACTAATACAAAGAGAACAACAAATAAAGAAAGAGATAAAAGAAAACACTAAAAATACAAAAAAAGTAAGAAGGTAAAGAAAAAAAAAGGAAAGTAGAAAATCAAAACATTAAGATATAAAGAAGTGACCTCCAATTGTTTTCTCACAATTATATTTTAACCTCTCTCTAAGATTAAACCATTACTCTCTTCTTTCTATAGTCTATCTATCCTTTCTAATCATGCAAACCATAAATCATAACTCTGCAAGTCTACACTAAATGTAGATACTGGTTTTTTTTCTCCAATCAAAATTGTCAATTTAACCACTGAATTTGGCATTTTCTATTCCATACCAGAAATAATTTCCCTCTGAATCACATAGATCTTCATAATGAGTACAATTTATATTTCAGTTCATTTTATCTCTCGCTTTTCCTCTGTCTGTGTGTATGTCTATAATTGAGTAGTACGTATATATGCTGACGCAGTTAAATTTCTGCAAAGGGCATATAATCACATGATAACTGATTGTTTCTAGACCTACGAGGAACTGAGGAAGGTTTAATCATGTTCCCTTGAATGCTGATAGAATTCAACATATTACATGAGTGCAAAACAAAGAAAGAAGTCAGTGAAAGCCTCCTTTAGATTCTGCCATCAAATTCAAGGTCATGTAGGCATGATTCAATGATTGCTAGTTAGTTTCTGACAAGAGTTCAATTTGCTACAGTTCATGATGAATTTTGTGTAATAATTGAAAATAACAGCACTTAGCATGTTTTACCCATATTTTACCTTGTGCCATCCTTTTAAAGGCCATTTCCTTTTCTTCAGCATGAATCCTTCATGTTTGTCTGGTTTCTGGACATTAGTCTGGCCAATTTTCAAGCCTTCTATAATTTCCCAGCTGTCTGGCTCCTGAGGAAAGTGGGAAGAAGAGGATGGAACAGAACCAAACAGATCAAAATTTCAGTATTGTGGTGCCTATTATTCAAGCTGTTTTGGCAACCCAGTGTACATTTACATAAATTCTGTCCCACTGAATTCAAGAAGACTGCCTTTAGTTAGCAAATAAATAAGAAACTGGATATTACATAAACCACACTGAGAACAAGAACGTTCCAGAAGTACATGCTAAGGAAATTACTGAGGGAATTCTAAGGTTAAACTATATATCCCTAGGAGGTACCAGTTTTGGCAGCATCTCATTCCATTCATAATTAATCGTGGCTAAAATAGCCTTAATTCTAAGGCTATTTAATTTGGGCCTTAATTAACCTTAATTTGGGCTTAGTTCTTTTCCAAAAAAATGTTTGGAAGAAATCTGGTTTGTATGTACTTATGTAAAGTTGTAGCAAGCAAAGATGTTATCCATTTGCAAATGATGTACCTAGCATAACTACTGGGTATATCAAGGCATAATAATTCTAGGAACAATATTTTAAATTATAACCATATTCTTTGATTAGAAACAAATGACAAGGGCTGTTTTGTAGCATTCTGCCTAGCAATAACTATAAAAATCATGCTACTCATCGTGTTCAATCCTTTAAATTTTTATAATAGAACGGAGACTTGTAAACAACACTTCTATGAATTACTTATATAGTACAGGGATACATTAAAGGATCGTGTTATGCTGAATTCAGTCTTCCGTAAAAGGTTTTTCATTATATACCTTGCAGTATTTATGTACAAAAGTATTCTCAAAATCACATGCAGGTAGTCGTCAACTCACAACCACAATTGAGCCCAAAATGTTTGTTGTTAAGTGAGGCATTTGTTAAGTGCGTTTTGCCCCATTTTACAACCTTTCTTGCCACATTTGTTAAGTGAATCACTGCAGTTGTTAAATTAGTAACACAATTGTTAAGTGAATCTGCTTTCCCATTGACTTTGATCTTGTGAACTCAGCAGTGACGTGCGGTGAGGTTTATGGCTGGTGAGGCAGTCCTCTCCCTCAACACCCCACTGTCTAAAGCGCTTTCTTTCTTTCGCCCGCCTTAGCTCTGACAGGCGGGCGAAAGAAAGCGCTTTAGACAGTAGGATGCCGTGGACACAGAGGCGGGCAAAAGAAAGTGACTTTCTCCGGCCTGTGCTGGCGGGCTGCTGCTTTCTTTTGTCCGCCTCTGTGTCTGCGGCAGCCCGACAGCAGAGGCAGGTGAAAGACCCACCTCTGCTGGCGGGCTGCTGCAGATACAGGCGGGCGAAGTGACTTTCACTGGCCTGTGCTGGCAGGCTGCCGCAGGCACAGGCCGCAATGTCAGACCTCAGGCAGACGAAAGAAAGAAAGAGCGCTTTAGACAGGATGTCGGGCGAAAGACCTGCCTCTGCTGGCGGGCTGCTGCAGACACAGAGGCGGACAAAAGAAAGTCTCTTTCACCCGCCTGAGCTGGCGGGCTGCCCTCCCTGTATCTCCTACCCCCTGCCCTCTCTTCACTCATCTCTAACACACACACACAGACACACACACTCACACACACACACAAAGTTGCACCAGGAGGATTAAGTTTGAATTCCTCCCCCTCCCTCCGACCCACACATACACTTACCTTTTCTTTTCCAGCTGTTTCACAGAGGATTTCAACTCTGCTCTTGTCTGCCATGATGAAAATGTAAAAATGTAAAAGGAAAAAGGCAAGAGCTGCTGAGGTCAGGCTGGGCTAGTTGCTGCCAGTCTCTCCAATGGATGACTCTGCTTAACTGTTTAAAAAAAGCCTCTTAAAAAAACGCCCTCTGCAGGAGGAGGCGAGAGAACCACGTGCCTCGTCTACATAAGAAATTTTTCAGCTTTTAACCCTTGCTTAACTCTGCTCGAGTGATTATAAAGTCAGACTAAATGAGGCACATGGTTCTCCCGCCTCCTCTGGTAGAGGGCAATTTTATCTGTAAATGTGTTTTTATTTTTCCATTTTC